TTGGCAAATAAACCTTGCTGATTGAACCTGCATCGTCTCCAGGAGTTCTTTGGGCTAGGCCTGACAGTATCAGTCTAAATTCTCCAGTTTCTCTTCAGTCCACACACCTGGCTCCTCCCTTTGTAATGACAAAACTCAAAACACAATTGCTGTATTTAAGGGTGAGAGGTGGGAGCAATCTATTTATGCCCAAAATGTGACATGTTGAAAAGGAAGACCCCCCCATCCCCCCTGAAATTCCACAAAGTCAATGTACCTTACATGTCTTTAAAAAAGGTACACCTATACAAAATCTGGCTCATCCTGGGTCAGCAGCTACTCTGGAGACATTGCTTGAAGTAGTTCAGCCTCAGAAGGCTGAGTTGTTCCAAACTGAGGCTTCCTGGTGGCAAGGGGACCGAAGGGAAAGACCAGTCAGGAAGGCAACAGCAGAGGCTCAGGAGATGTTGCTTGAAATTCAGGCCATCATGTGGCCCTGCGGAGATGGGGATAACTCTTGACGGTCCTTGAGATGGCTTCATCCAGGCGAACCACTGGCTTGTACCCCAGGTCCCGCTTGGCTCGCTCACAGCTGTAATAATGGAAAGTCCCAGCGAGGGCAACCCGCATGGGAGTGAAGGTGGGATGAACGGTGACAAGGGGACTCAACAGCAGCAAAACCAGGGAGAAGAGAAGGGATAAATAATAAGCTAGCCAATAAGGGATGCGGTATTTGGGAGGGTCATAGTGCAGGCCAGTGAGGACGCGAGACAAGAATTCCCAAAAGGGAATGGGCTCATCATTCGTGATATGAAAAGCCTGCAAGACAAACAAGGAGAAGTAATGAGGAGTGGAAGTTAGTAAACTAAGCATACGAGAAACAGCCCAGGAATATCAGGGAAGAGATCAGACAATTCATACAAAATAATTAGGTCTTTGATTTACATCCCATCTTTTCTTTAGGAGCAGAAGGTGTCTATAGCAGTCTCTCCTCCAATTTTCCCACCTACCACCCCTCTGAGCTGACCATGGACCTCTTCTAAGCTCCACACTTCAGCACTATGTCACTCTGGGCCCTCTCCCCCTAAGCCAGGGCAGCAAACTTTCTGCAGCCAAGGGCAGAACATCCAGGCAATCGAAAGTCAACTTATCCTCTTGGTTGAGCCTCATTAAAACCTAACTGCGGAAACATGAAGATGCCCTTGGGAGAGACATTTGTTCAAGATGACTTTGATCTTAATAACTACGAAGGCTTGCAGCTGTTGGTCCTTGTTAAGCTAAGAACGTTAAGGGCACCTTCATCCTTTTCGATTACAAACATTCAGCCTAATTACTTTAGCTTTTTCAATTTGGCAAGGACAAAGCTGCATTTGATAAGAACAGATCTTCTCTCGGCAGGGTACGTTTGGCTAGACTACTTCTATCCATAAAAGTCTTCAGCCTTTGTCTCAGATGGAAGCCAGAAATGTCTCAGGAGAAGTGAGCGGGAACATGATGCTACAGCCTTTCATGATGCTTCAGGCGGTCTTAACTATATTGTTTATGGCTAGGTCAACTTTCTTGCAAGACAAGCTCAACTCCTGATAACTCCAGGGCTGTATCCACTTTGTTTTTACACTGCTTTCTTTCAAGACGTATTTCTGGCTTCTCAGCATAGCTTATTTCTCTGAGAGTCTCTGGTGGTTTGCAAGAAAGGGGCCGGAGCGAATGAAATGATCAGCAAGTTGCTGGGTTTAATCCAGAGGTGAGAAAGTGCAATTTGAGAACCACAAACAGCCCAACAGCATCTCTTCTGAAGTCCCCAGAATGGGTGTGGCCAAAGCTCCCCCCCACCTTTTTTTTGCATTTTTAGGGAGTTTTAAAGCCTTGTAGGAGGTTCCTTCCAGGATAGATCAGGCCCCTTCCACTTTTGGAAAAGGGGCCTTTGAGTTAATAAAAGCTGTACGCTCCACATCTAAGCTCTGGGCAACCATGGGGGGTGGGTGGGCTTACCTTTCCACACAGGGGAGAATCCCTTTGAAGCTGCTCTGCAGCCAGGATGTGCCCATGGACCACATTTTCCACAAAGGTAAAATCCACCAAGTTCTTTCCATCACTGTGCAGAAGAGAAAGTATTCCAAGCAATGTTAAAATGCACGGGCCAAATTGTAAAACACAGGGGTCTGCTGGATGTGACATTACTTGGGTAAATGCCATTAACACCGAACATGTTGATGCCTCAAGCAGTATTAAACCATCTACAAATGCTACAGTTAGTGGTGAAGATTCTCTTAGCTCTTGGAGAATTTCCCTTCTTCATTCACACTTGATTTCTGTGCTTTACTTTTTCCTTCGCCCCTTTGCCTTTTCCCAATTTTTTAAGCTGACACCCCAATTTCTATCATTTTATTTTAAAAAAATAAAAGGATACACTTTTTGGAGAGAACAATTTTTGAGAACAGGAGAAAGAACACAATTAGGTTAATAACAGTAACGGCATCATGATGATGAAGTCATACCAAATCACAAAGCTTTACAGTACACCATAAAACAATAAAACCTATTGATAGTAACATTACCCACGAACAGACCTGCAGAAAATTAAGGATAATTAAAACCTTTTTAAAAGCCACAGTGAAATAGAAAGTAAATAAGAATAAATGAGTCATTGGCCATGTATTATTTCAATTGGGAAATACTTCATGGATGCAAAGTTATAGCCAAGACATCCCTACTCCTTGTGCCCAACCTCAAAGTAAAGGCAATTATCTCTGGATGCAGGCGCTCATTCCAGAAGAGAAAAAGGTGCATGGATTACAAATAGATTGGACTTGCAATAGTAGAGAAGATATGTAACTCAGAGTTGAATTGTTGGGTTCTTGATGTCCTCTAAGCTTGCTTCTCTCTCAGCAGATGTTTCATTAGTGAGCCAGGTAGCATCATCAATGCATGGGGTAGTGCAATTTGCTGGGTGTGTATACGTGGTAGCTTGTCCCTACCAGCCTTGATTGTTCCTGTTTATCAGATATAGGTTCCTACTTATCTCAGTGTTAGTTAATAGATGTGTGATGAGGAAGGATGTGTTTAAGGCTGTTCTCTTCCTTATGCTACTTAGCCCAGTAATGAAATGTCTGCAAGAAGAAATGCACGCTCAAAGGATACTAGGAGCCCTGTAGATGGAACTTGGCTTACCCAATCATGAATTTCATCTTGCCACTCTTGGCTGCCTGGATGAGGACTGGAACAAGCTGAGGGTCCCGAGGTCCAAATATGCCATGGGGGCGGATAGCAGTGGTGAAGAAATTCCTCTCTGGCTCACTGGCATTCAGCACCTCCTAAAAATAAGAAAAAGGAAAACGCCTATGTAGATCCATTGGGAGCAAAATGAAGTACCATTAACCACAAATGGTCCAGACCTTCTCCTGCAGGATCTTTGTTTCTGTATAGTAATCAATGGGCTTCTTGGCATAAGGGAGATCTTCAGTTCCACCCTTGATGTCTGTACCTTCAAAGACAACACTGGCACTGCTGGTCAACACCAGTTTCTGCAAAAGGGTAGGAACAAAAATGTCAAGGAAGTTACTGAAACACACTGACTGTCAGGTACAAGGATACAAGCTAGAGCAATACACGATCCCTGCTGGATCCAAGGCTATGAGTGGTGCTTTTCTGTCTATGAAAGCAGTTCAGTTTTCAGAGTATAGACAGATACTCCCAAAAAATCCTCCAGGAGGGCTTTGATGAAGATAGAAGTTGTCTTCTACTACTATACTTCACCCTCTAGTACTTGAAGACAGGTTGCCTCTAAACACAACTGCTCCATATATAAAATACAGCTGGTAGATTTCTCCTCTTCTGATTTTGCCTAAAGACATTTATGGTTGCGGCCATCACCACAATCAGTGAAGGTCTCTGAAAGTTTATTTATTTATTTGGCTTGTATGCCGCCCATCTCCCCCACGGGTGACTCTGGGCAGCTTACAATAAAAAAGAAAAAACACAATTCTCTCCAAGATGGCTAAAAACTATAAATATTTTAAAAACATATTAAAAATGCCCTAAAAAACCTCCT